TTTTTTTTTTTTTTTTTTTTTTTTTTTTTTTTTTTTTTTTTTTTTTTTTCAATCTATACTTATATTATATCAAGTAGTTCTTCCCTTACATTTCTTAACAGCTTGTAGCATAGCCCATGTGTATATCCATGCACAACGTCATATGGATATACAAATTAAACATGGGTTAGCAGAGCTATACTATACGCTATGCGACGAACTTTCGACAATTAGGTCCCTGCAGTTCATTCCTGCACGTGTTGACTGTACCTACACTGACTGTAGGAAGTTAATCTTACCCCAAGGGTTGTACATTACTACCTTAATTACGTATACGCCGGGCGTTGTGGCACTGCGCGTCTATTATATTACATTATACATGTATCATATAGGTATAAATATATATATATAGATGTAGGTGTTGGTCGGTATGTCTACTCTATAATATATACGGATTAAACCGAGTATGAACTCTATAATTATATTATACACTTGAAGGGTGTATTTATTATCAGTAACAGATTCAGTTGTAACGTTAAATTTGAGGTTTTATTACCGTTTAATCGATCGTCTGTTGTAAGGTATTAAGGCATCAAGTGTTAAAGCTGTAACCGACTATTATATACATATATAAGCTCTTGACGTGACCGACTCATTTTGACAATGGGGAAGCACAATGCGCAATTATGATGTGCCCAAGACATACGATTGGGCACGATTAGGCGTGTGGCATTTCACAGGGAGGTCCCGCTATATACTTATAATATACATATATTACATCAATGTCACTGTTGCACGTTGCAGACTGAACGGTGACGAACCCATTTCCACGCTGACTCAGGATTTTCACACGCGACTCGACAACCTGCTGAGGACCCTGGTGCACGCGAGGCCACATTTCGTCAGATGCGTAAGGAGCAACGCGTCCGAAACACCCATGCAATTCAACCGGAACGTGGCCATGCGACAGATTAGATCGCTCCAAGTACTCGAGACTGTCAATCTCATGGCTGGCGGTACTTTTTATACCTCACTATAATTATGTTTTTCTTTTTTTTGTTCATACATCTTGCAGAACGTACCTACATAGTTTTACCCTTACTCACGGTGCTCTTTATCTTTTCTCATGACAATAATCCGTCGTACAAGTATTGGTATAAGTATATATTTTTTAGCTGTACGTCCGATTGATTATACTTGTTGTTCCGTTTTTGCGCTATTGATTTCAAAGAGATATCTAGCACCTCCTCGCTACATCGGGTATATATTATAAACCTTGTATTACGTAGGCTACCCCCATCGGATGCGCTTCAAGGCGTTCAACGCGCGCTACCGACTGATAGCGCCGTTCAAGCAGTTGCGCCGCAGCGAGGAGCAAGCGATCGAGGACACAAAGCTGATCCTCCAAAACGCACAACAGCTAAAGAGCAGCTTCAACGCGAGTACGAGCTGGGCCCTCGGCAAGCGGCACATCTTCCTCAGCGAGGGCATCAGGCAGCAGCTCGAGAGCCTGCGCTCCGACATACGCAGGCGGGCCGCCACCGACATACAGGTCATATTTATACCTCACCTGTATTTTTCTCTTTCCGTGCCGTTCCTCGTACTTGCTCATGGGGCCCGAACTCGACTACTTACAGGCAAATTGGCGCGGCTGGCGAATCCGTCGGAGATGGACGCTGCGCCGCTCAAACTTGACACTGGGTAGTGGCGGTCAGCTTTTGCAAGCTGCCCCGGCGGTGGCGGCGCTTCCGACCACGGGGACGCTGCCGCGGAGCGGCGTCAGGCCCAGGCCTCAGCCGATAGCCGGCACGCCACCGCCCGACCCGTCCGACAAGTGCGCCGACCCGCAGATGATCCAGCAGACCTGCACCCTCTTTGGCCTCGATCTCGTAAGACATTAAAATCCACTATTAATGTATTGTATACGCGCCGATCATCCCTTTGGCTCCTACGTACAGTGTAACCGCGCCATAACAATAACAAGCGTAGACTGATACGATTTTCTTCACAACAAGGAACGACCACCTCCGCTGCCGCCTAGCAGATCGTACACGGTGACCGGCAACACGAAGCTCGGGTATCCGCAGACGCGGGTAATGAAGAAACCTTTTCCAGGTAGGAACTTGAATGATCGTGTTGTCGTGTTGTCGTGTCGTATGCATTAACACTCCCCGATTTTTCCGCAACAGAAGAGGGCGAGGGTGAGGTCGTCTTGCTCAAGGGTGAGGCAGTCCTGGTGATCGGGGCGTCGCCGAGGCGCGGCCATCTGCTCGTCGAGCACAACAATATTACTCTGCACGTGCCCTATCAATTCATGGAGCTCAAGCCGTGCAACATCAACGTCTGAAACTCTGCCGAATTACTTTGTTTAACGAGAATTTTTTTTTTTTTTTTTTCCCTCTAAACCATTAGACTGAACGTGCTTTAAAGCTTACTTTTTGTCGTGTAAGGAGCCCGTGTTCGAGCTCTACTTTTTTATTTATTTTATCATGTATTTTTTTTTTTTTTTCATACGCTCTCAAGTTATAGTGCCGAGAAATTGCCATATATTATAACGTTGAAGTTTTCCAATAGACGTAAGTCACGTCTGATCCTAACTTGTGAATTATAATTTTAACTTTTGAATAGTGGTTGGGGGGGGGGGGGAGGTGTAAGAGTACCTTGAGAAATAAAATACATACGCGTATGTCTAGTACTTTGTCTTCCAGTTAGATTTAAGACGAGAATACATATATATATATATACATGTTATAGAACAGCGTACTATTCATTTCATACTGCTTACATTGTAATTATACACGACTACACAATTTACTCAAGACTATTCTTGTTAAACTTAACTGCGAACAATAATTTTCACAACTCGTCGATTTCCCACAAAAAGGATGAATAAAATTTTACAGAAAGTTAAGCTCACATAACAATTTGAAGTTGAAAGTCATATAGATATTGCAAAATATATACCGTAGATTCTGCTGAAATAAATTAAATTATCAGTATTTTGATGGACTGTTGCTGTCATTGAATTCTTAGTGCCAATCGATTGAAGGAAAACGAGCTTGAGGTGAAAAGGTATAAAATATATATGTGTGCACCTTTGGTTTCGCGACTCACCTGTTTGGGAGCGAGCTGAAGGCTCTCTACGCCAGCGAAACAGTGCCCAGGGGAGTTAGTTTTCGTATAT